TGTCCATATCAGAAAGCAATCTTTTAATCCGGTACGCCATTCAAAAAGAATTCAATTATTGTCAAAATGTCACAGTCAGAGAGAGCGGTATGCAATTACTTGCGGTTCCTGTCAATCTGGGATACGCGTTTTAAATTGCTCGCGTTTGTATTGCTAAAAATGTTCATCTCGTTTTTCCTCGTGTATTCCCACTCATATGGATTTCTTGCATCTGTTATTTTTTTATAAATACATCGTTAATCAGCCAGTGTAAGTCTTAATTCGACGACAGAGAAACCTCAGATGCCCAGCCGAAGATTTAAATAAACTATGACTTGATCTTTGACCATATTTTTACGTGGCATTGTTTCACATCAGAAGCATATATTAGCAGAGCATTTAGTTTCAGGGGTAAAGCACTTTATTTGTATTCCTGCGATCATTTAATAATTTTCTCATTCCATATGTTTATTTACCCAATGCTCGAACAGTTAAGGAATGACGGTTCTAATGATGATTTTTTTTTAGCTTAAATTGCGTTTGTATATTTTGCTCAAAAATTGCTACAGGCGTTTCAATTTGACTAAATTATTTCTTAACCAAATTGGCAATATTAACTTTAAAGTACCTTTCAAAGACATTTTTTATGATGCAATGACAGAAATCTTGTTTTGTATTTATCATGTTCCCTAGAAAAGATATGACAAAGGTCAAGCAATAACAAGGAAAACTGGAGCTTACGTGTGCATTTCTATTACTGTGCTATAGTACAAAGTTAATCCCCGGTTAATAATAAAGGCAGAGTTTCATTACAATATATATGTATGTTCTTGGTTTAGTCAAAGAACGTTTGTTCGGTGTAGTTTCATTTTAAACTAGCAGTTCCCGTGCGTCTTCATCCGCATAAAATTATTATTTTATTTTTTACATGTGTCAAATTGTCAATCGCAAATGTCAAAATGACATGACATGACAAAACTTGGCAATCTTGCTTCCTTGATGTTGGCAGAAACTTATGGTCTCTTTCCCACATTAGGGTTTTTATCCAAAATATTTACCTCCTAAGTTTAATGTCGTGAAAATATATAGCCTAAAGTGTGACGTAAGTGTACGGTTTTTTTATTATTAAAGAATGAGTTATTCAGAATAATTCTGTAATTGCTGACATCTTACGAAACAAAGAAGTGTGTATGCACTTTTTAATAATAAATAATATAGACTAATTCTAGTATTCTTTTAAACAAGGAAAACGATTCGTCGCAATGAAGTTGTACCTTAAAAGTGACGCGTGTTATTCCTAACGTATATAAATACTGTTGCAATATCTCAGTTTTCATTCTTAGATAAGTCTGAGTCAAAGGCAATATGAAGAATTTATTGGTATTATTGTTGGTTGCGGTCACCGCGTATTGTGTGACAGGACAAGGCATACCTATTGGTGAGTATATTTTAACTATATTCAAACCGATTGTAATGACATAAAAGGGCCTTAAGGGCTTAGAGGTCTTCAAGAAAAGAGCATACTCTTTGCAAGCATGCGATTGTTTGCGTTGCGGTTGTTCATAGGCGTCGGATCGAATAGCATTAGGGGTACCGCTGTTTGTCCCCTACTATAATATAAACCTATGTTATTCGTAAACATTTAAAAGGCTTATATCAGCCTAAAGCTACGGTTTTGGTCACTGTAACCGATATATCGGCAAATGTATTTACTTGAAGCATTGATTCTTACAGCGGGCGCACGCCTTTGACTAATAGCGCAACTGTTGTGCGATTGTCGGTTGTTTCGCAGCCAATTCAACTGTTGATTGGACAACTAAAAAGCGAGTAGTGTACCTCCATATAAGCTCATAGGAATCAATCCGAGACTAGACAGTTGTGCGATAGTTTAGTTTCAGATGTGCGCACTCTCTAAATGTTAATTTATATCTTTCAATTGTTTAACCATCCTTTTACTACATTACTTTTTTTTAAAAATTAAAACCATATAACTCCACAGCCAACTGCCCACCTGGAGAACACTCAGTGCTATACTGTCCTCGGCAAGCTGAGCCGTCTTGTGACAACCCTAAAGTGCATGACCCATCAGACGGAGTTTTCGGAGCTTGCGACATTCCTGATTGCTTCTGCGATGTACCTACAGTTAGGGATGTCAGAACAAACAAATGCGTTCTTTTATCTGAATGTTCCTAAATAATTTTAGCAAGAGAAACCAATCATACATCATCTAACTGCCATATAGTAATTTTTTTGCGAAGTCCTGACCATAGATTAAGTATGGATGATTGTACACTATGGGGGTAGGAGAGGGAGGTTAAATAACTGGTTGGTGTAGTGTATTTAAAAAAAACAAACTATGCCACCATATATCAGTTTTTCTTTAGTAATAACATTTGTAATTCAATTTAGTCGAATGAAATTTCATGAAATTGAAGTCATGTTTCTATATTTTCCAATTTCATGGAAAACCCTATTATAAAGTGAATTAAAATCTATATTTTGTGATTAATTTAAATCGACTGTACTTTGTAAAAATAAACATACATATATCGGTTACGTTTTAATACAATATAATTGTTTTATTTTAATTAAACCCTTAAATACTACGTTTCGGTTAGGTTTTAAATGTAGCTTTTAACTTCAATAGCTTACATTTATCTTAATGTTAATAAATCATATATTTTTATGAGTTATTTCTTAAAAGTCATTATCAATAACATAATACGCATTAAAAGATCATTAATTTAAGGAAATATATATACATGATTTATGTTATTGGGTATTTTACAATACTTTTCTCAAATCGATATTTACTTACAAAAGAAACGGTTGTGTATTAACACTTGGAGAAAACCCGGACAAATGCCGCAGCATGTCTCAGACAAACTCGAGTCTGCGGGGAAATAAAAGAAGCATCTTATTTGTGTTTTTACATCTCACACCTGCACGTAGACTTTCAATGAATGTTAAGAGCAACCTCGCTTTTAAGACTCTTTGCTATTCGTATTTTCCAGGCGTTGCTTTTTTGTTTCAAGCTAAATAACGTTTGTTGAAGGTATTACATTCACAGAGAATAATATCTCACGTCTATTATTGATCTTAATTAAAACTTCGTATACATGTCTTTACTCGTAATAGGTAACATTATGTGTTTTAAATTTGAATACGCAAACATAAAAGATTTCTTTAACCTGCAATGTTACCCTTTCAGAAAAATATTAATTATTAAAACTGTTTGAACATAAAGCTTTTGTAATCCGTTTTCTCGTTTGTCTTTGTCGTGCACAAACGTCATATGTTCACCAGTAGCTTATTCCACCATGAAGATTCTTTCGAAATCCATGAACAAGTAAGAAAAATAGCACGTTACTGGAAATCTATGAAAGAGCAAATTGTCTTTGACGTCGAGTGCGCTGTGAAAGATTTAAATTTCACTGTGTTGACATCAATTTTCGCAAATGCAATTTTTATTGCTGGTAAAACAAATGCCTATGTTTTCTGGTCTGGACTTACATTTGAAAGAAGAACCAGAACAGCTGACAATCGGATATTAAAAATTCTCTTTACCTGTGACCATTTTAAAAAAGTTAAGACTGTTTAACAGCGTTCTTCGATTTAGGAACTTAGAAGAAAGAAAAATTATACCCAAAAATGTGTGCGTAAACTATAAAAAAAATATATTTTGATACAATTATAATGCGTTACATACGCTTTAGAAGAAATTAAACAAAATATTTTGTTATTGACGTAAGTTCTCAGCGTTGAAATATGCAAGCAAAAATTAATAATAATCTTCCGTCGGCAGTGAAAATCCACGGTAAGTTACTCTACACTGGTATTGTAAGAAACCAAAGCTTAATATCATAAGAACAGACTAATTGTAATCTCAAGTAGAACCATTACTGGAACACATTAACACATAACTCACGACCTCTGAGAATTATATTAGAGGATAATGCAGAGAATAAGAGTGGTGCAAGACAATGTACTGAAGCGTTTTGCTATCTCTTTTAGTATATTTTAATACTTTAATGACGAAATATTTCAAAGTCATAATCACAATAAAGAATATTTTTCATTTCTCTTTAGTAATTTTAAGTTGGATTTTGAATTGATTTTTTTTTACCGAGGATAATTTAAGTCTAAAAAAATGTTGCGATTTAAGCAATTCGGGTATTAATTACAATTTTATAAAATCGCTAAATTTTCATGACTTAAATCGAGATATCCTCCGGGAAATTACAGTTCCAACGAATTAGAAACGTCTCGAATAAATTTCGACAAAACAGCCGTAGATATTTTTTAATTATTTAACGAAGCGAAAACGAACCTGATATTTATATCCCTGTGATATTTCACAGGAGATTCAAACGACTTATTTTGTGAATTATTTTACGAAATTTTACAATACCCGTAGACACCATAATTTATTGCTATTTTTTGATGTCATTTTATAAAAACAAAATAGCTTTTTTCCACGAATCCATCCGCGTGAAATTTAAAAATAATATTAAAGAAATGAAAAAATATAGCCTATGTTACAGATAAATTACATTTCTAACGGTGACTTTTTTTTTAAATCGGCCCAGTAGTTTTAGAGTCTATACATTACATTACAAAGTTTTCCTTTTCACAACATTAGTATATTTATACAATAATTCAAACGTTTTTTTAACGCGCGTTAAAAAAACGTTAGTTAACGTTTTAGTTTAGATTACTCCTCCGGAATGTTTAGAGTACATCTTTGTCTAAACAATTGAACAACAGTTATGCGATTGTCGATTGTTTCGCTGCTAATTCAACAGTTTAGTCGCACAACTAAAAATCGAGTAGTGTGCGCACCATATAAGCTCATAGGAATCAAAGCGAGACTAAACTGTGCGATAGTTTAGTTTAAGGTGTGCGCACGCTGTTTACACGTCAGTCGAAAGTTGATACCATTTAACTGACGTGGTATAAAAAATATGGAATTCAATCACAAAAATTATGTCAACAAGATAAGATATCTATGATTTATCGTAAAATTTTACTAGAATTATCAAATACAATTAACAAAGATTTCTTACTGTATGGTTCGGATATGTGGTGGATAGGGATTTTGTTTTTTGGTTTAGTGTATGCTGAGGGTGATTTTAGAACTGTTGAATTAGAACAGGGGTTTGTTAGGGGTGAGAAGTTTTGGGATGGTGATTATTATGAGTTCTTTGGTGTACCTTATGCCACTGCGCCTACAGGACGAGACAAATATAAGGTAAGTTTGTTAATAATGCATTGAAGTGACAGCCCTAATTATTAATGAAATAGTAGTCAGTACAGTTAGCTGCACAAATATGTACGAGTATACATTCACAAAACTTTGGAAACATGTATGTAGGCTTTAAGTTTTAGAAATTAGTGTCAACTTATTTGTCGACAAGTATTTAATGCATTGTAGCTTTGTTAATGCATACCTATCTATGAAGCTAACTGTACCTAGTTTTGTTAACAATAATTTGGAGCGTTCTAAATAATTTTAAAGACATTCTGTTGATAGAAGTTGTCTAATAATTTGTTTTTGGGAGACGTTTTTCATGCCTAAGTAATGTTTCTTTAATCATTGAAAAACTCCCTAATATTAGGAAAGAATTTAAATGTTATCTGTTAATTATCAACTTGGTTAATCCTTTTTAATCTATTGTCGCTAAGAAAATATTTAAAAAATCACTTGGACTACAGTTTAGATTTAATTCTGATAGACATGTTCCGGCCGCTCATTTGCCCTCTTTTTATAAAAAAGAGTATATTAAATTCAAATTATTTGTGTCTTTCAGGGTCCGTTGCCGGTAAAGACATGGCAGGGAGTTTTCGATGCGAAAGTAAGAAACACCGTTTGTTATCAAACTTATTATACCGGAGAAGATGATGAAGAAAGTCTTTTATCAGGAGATGAAGATTGTCTTGTGATTAATCTTCTAGTACCTAAATTAGCTTCAGAAGAAAATTTAGTACCAGTAATGGTATATATTCATAGTGGAGCGTTTTCAGGAGGCAATGGGAATATGGCTAAATTTCAATATTTAGCCAGACATGATATTATAGTTATTAGTTTCAACTATAGGTTAGGGGCATTAGGTTTCGCGTGTCTTGGTAATGAAATAATACCCGGTAATGCTGGATTGAAAGACCAAGTAGCAGCATTAAAATGGATAAATAAAAACGTAATTAAATTCGGCGGTGATCCTACAAAAGTTACTCTCGCAGGATTCAGTGTTGGGGCTTCTATGGCAGAATTACTTACGTTTACTAAATCTACTGAAGGATTAATAGACAAGCTTATTTTAGAAAGTGGATCAGTATTATCTCCTTTCACTATAAACAGAGATCCGATCAGTACTGCGACGAATATCGCAATATCCATGGGGTATAATGGTACAGGGGAATTAGATGATTTGACAGAGTTCTATTTAAACGCAACCCCTGAAGTATTAGTATCAAAGAGTTTAAACTTTTTCTTACCTAATAGTACTTTTGGATTTGCTCCTTGTATAGAAAATGTTCACGAAGGGATCGAACCATTTTTAACCGAATCACCGACGGATATATTAAAGAAAGGAGAAAACCAGAAACTACCAGTTCTAACTGGTTTTGCTAACATGGAAGGTATAAGTAGGTTGATACAATTCGGTAAATGGCGTACACCGATGACAGAGAATTTCTCTGAATTTTTACCGGTCGATCTAAAGTTTCCTGATGAAAAAACAAAGGAAGAAGTTGCAAAAGAGATAAAGCAACGCTATTTTAAAGGCGAAGAAGTAAATTTGGAGAACATACAGAGTTACGTTGATTATTTCTCTGATTCTATGTTTAAATATTGGATTATGAAGTCAGCTAAACATCATGCAGGAACATCTAAGAAGCCTACGTATTTGTATGAGTTCACATACGTTGGTAATATGAATATTAAACATAATTACATGGATCGGATACATGGAGCCAGTCACCGAGATCAAACAGCTTATTTACTTGATTTCTTCGCGTGGTCGAACACTTATAAAGATCTAGATACAAGAGACCGGATGACTTTGATGTGGACAGATTTCGTTAAATATGGGTATGTATTGTCTTTTATTTACATCTCTCTTGATTACATATGAAGCCTATACTCTAACAAATTACACTTTTTTTAACATGTTTACTTTTAATTTGCAGAGATCCAACTGCCTATGAGACCAGTCTTATCAATTTCAAATGGCGACCCTTTAATAATCAAAAGGCGATCTACTTGCAAATTGACAAGGTATTAACTATGAAGAGAAATTTGTTTCAAGAAGAATACAAGTTCTGGGATAAAATTTATGAAAAGTATTATTGGAATCCAGAACCGCCTAAGAAAGTTGAAATTAAGAAAGGCGAAAATAAAATTGTGACAAATGAAAATGAAGATAAACAATTGAAAATTGAGAATAAAGGTAACCAGAAAATTAATAAAAATGACAGCAAAACTGAAGATAAGAAAGCGAAGATTGGAAACGAAAACAAGCAAGTTAAAGAGGAACATAAAAATAAGCAAGGGAAGTGAAAATGCAGAACGACAATGAAAGTAAGAAGTCTGTAACACTAGTTGAATAGTTAAATTACGCGATTAAAAATAGAAGATAATGATTATTGTTTTAAATTTCGGTAGATTTTTTTCAAACATGCAAATTTTCCCTTGCGTTGTGGATAACAGTGAAATCAAAACCATAAATTGCGATTCAAAAATAGGGCGAGGGAGTTCTTCAAACAGATGTGTCAAACACAGTTCTTTATTATAGAAGGGGAACGTAAAATCAATACTCCTTTGAAGCATCACAAAAATTCACATATTTTTTCAAAGAAAAAATCACCAAAACGTAAGCGGATTTAAAAATACTGGAGTGTCTTTGCCGCAGTTTAATTTATTTTTAACACTTGTCCCTTTTATCTTTAACCCTTCCTTCTTTGTGGTCGACAAAGGGCGTCTAATTTAGCGCCATAAATAATAGCAAGATTCAAACAGTGGGGCTGACAGAAAATCGGGAAGACTATCCCTTCTTACCATCTCAAGCGAGTTAAGAACCTTGTGATTCTTTGTAATTCCAATTTCTACGGCGTCTTAGATAGGACTATGGTTACCCAGGTCTTTACTTTGAAATTTACCACATGCTTCTGTATTAATAATGGGATTAAAGGTCTATTATTATTTAAAAAATCCTTCCATTAACTATTACACGAGTTAAAAGTAGTCTGGATCGATATGCGTATGTCAAAGTTACAGTAACGTGCTACCTTCAACTTTTCTCCGACTAAATAACTCCTTAAGAAGTCGAGTGGTGTGTTAACTCCGTGCAGTGTTACCGTAAAAGCGTCGAGTACGGCAAAGTGAAAAAATACCCTTTAACCCTCTTCTCATTAAAGCTAGGCAAGGTTCGCTTTAACTTATAAAATGTGAAATGCCTGCTGTTCACGTTTGACGTAGCGGTGCACAGGACTGGAAATTTAACTTGGTTTTCTTTTCTGAATATTTTTCTACTGTTAATTTATAAAGTATTTTAATTATACTTAAGAAATTGTTCGTTAATTTAAAGAATCTAGTTGAAGTAGACTTAAAAATGCTTTAATTTAAGGCAAAAAAGTATGAATAGTTTTTAAGATTGACAAATTTTATTTGTACCTACTTTTAATGTAAAGTTTTAGTTTGTTCTTATAATTTAAGAAGCTGTTGCAAATTTAATTGACCTTTCAGTAGACGACCGCAAGTTAGACAAACATAATAGGCTGTAAGCACATGTTTTATTTTCTTTTTAAGTTGAGATAAATGAATGGAATGCTTTTATTATACTTCTGAATATACGGTATTTGATACTATAATCACCTTTCCTAACAATTTACGTCTTGCAGTAATCGTACATTACATTTCCTTAGATAAGGGTCGCAACTCAAACAAGAGGCGTCGCAGTTTTATTTCCCAGGCGGCCTCCATTCATAAGTCATACCTTTCCAAAGCGCTTGCTCAAGTTTTCTCTTCGTGTTTGTCGAAACTATCAGAATGTATTCAGAGAGATTTCCATAAATAGTCAATGTTGGAGACTGATTCTTACGCCTAGCTTCCTTTTGAACTGAACTAGTTTGACTAGGTTCAAAAATCATTGTTAAATTTCAATCGCCAATTTATTCAACTATTTTTTTAATTGGTAAATACATCATTCTTTTATAACAAAGTAATTAACTAGATTGGACCAACGAAAACAGAATAACAGAATAAAAGAACCATCGAATGCCAAACAATACCTGTTGCAGTTGATGAAGCCAAGCTAGCATGTTTAGTTTTTAAAACCGCGATGTTAAATATAGCTTCGTATCGCCATCTATTAGAGAGTAATGGAAGCTATGCAAACAATGGCCTACGAATGTATTACTATGAACTTGGTTTAAAATAAAACATTGTTCAAAAACAACGAAGAAAAAACTTTTAGAATTTTTTTCTCACTTTCGTGTCTTATCTTCAAAATTTCCTCTTTATATTTATGCGTTGCAATAAAAGTAAAGGCACCTTTTGTCTGCTCCCTCTAACAATACAGCCTACTTTTCCTGCTTGGAAATTTACACAAATACTCTACGTAGCAAATTTTGTAACGACCTTTTACCTACTGTTTTATCCGGTTGACGCAGAAAGATGCTTGTCCGCGTTATGGTTGAAAAAAATCACCATTATAATCTGTGCCTTGCACATACGATTCCTGGAGTACCCTAAACATTCCACCACCGCTACGAGTGGTTTCTTTAAACGTTGAAATGATTTATGATGCTGTTTATCATACACTTTAGCCCCTCGGTTGTAACTTGGAATAGATGTTAGTAATTGCACAGTCATCTGGTTATCTTGAGGGGGCAAGTGGAGGGATTTGCATTTTTTAACTCTGGACGAAATTAAAAAGGGTCTAGAAATGTATTGTAGAAGGTACTATTAAACGTGTAACAGCTGTTGCAAGATTAGTATTATACATAACGTGAGTTTTCATTGATGCATTGGTGCTATTGCTATCGCAGTTTGTTTCTCAAATAATGAAAGAGTCGTCGATACAAGACCGTACGCTAATAGGCCGAAAGTCTACTCGTAATCCACCAACCATTCTCTTGAAACCTAATGGTCTTTTTACTTAACACGAACTGTCAAAAGTCAATGAACATGTTCATAAATCTACTTATAAATATCTTACGAGAAAACTTTGCCACTGGGGTGTTTGAACATCGAAATCTGAATGTACCGAACGTCGGGTGCGCGGGAAACTTTGACAGTTGATGTCTAGCGAATTAGAGGGAACAATATCTCTGACGTGTACACGAGGGAGTTAAGTTATACTTGTGACGTTGTATAATTGGTACTCATCTTTGATATTTCCAACAGATGTGCCTGGATTAGACACATTCTGAACAAGCCTAACCTCGGTAGCATATGAAACGGGGGTGACGTACGAAAGACATAAAATCGAAGGAAAATTGTTAAGCACTTAGTAGTAGCAGTTTTTGAATTGAATAGACAAGATTAAGACTTCTTTTTCACCCCTAGGATACGAAATAAAATTAAATTTATTTTGATAGACATCAAAATGTTTTACATTTTCTCTCGACCTATGAGCGCTTTTTTAACGTATTCGGCGTTAGCGTGTTTTTAACGCACTAGCTCAAATGAACATTTTATAACCACATTGTTTGTTTTGCCTTGAGATCGAAATCCAACACTGCGCAATAAATAAGTCGAGCTTACAAGCGCTGTTGTGTACAGACACATGGAAATACTCGTACATTAGTCCTTTTTTAACGCGCGTAATAAAAGCGCCCGTGTTATTGGCTCTTATAGCAAAACAGTGTAAATGTGAGTACTTATTTATCATGCGCTATTTTCATTATTTAATCCACGGAAGAAGTCAGAATTAACAGGCACGTAAGTTAAATGGCATCACAAAAGGATTTTTGGACTTTATCACTTCTGCACCATTCATGTTTACTGAATCCGCGCCGAGACTTCGCCTTTTGTTCCCTTTATCTGTGGAAAAAGGTGAATCATAAAAATCCTGTACACCTGAAATTCTTCGTTTACCATTGTTTCGAGAAACATTGCTAAATTTTGTTAGCTTCGTTCATTTTTAGTGTGTTAAATTCAAGAAATTTTAAAAATTTACCAAAGTTGGGCTAAAACCAAGGATGAATAGTCATTTAAGAAACAATTGACATTAGATTGTTGTTAAGAAATAAATTAAAATAGTATATTATTTGTAATCAAAGGCATGAATTCTTAAATAGTTTAATCGTTTATTAAGAAAATTGAAATAATTTCATGTCATGTAGCATTAAAAAAAAACGTCAAACAAATACGCTCCAGATAAATCCGTAGAATGAAATTTTTAATCTCTTTGCAGTTTATTGTGATATCGGAACAAGACATCTTTCAATTCTGTCTTTATGTTGGCTTTACCTTTGTACTCTATTGTATTGTTGTTCATTTAATAGCGATTCTTGTCTATTTTCTATTCCTTATCCAATGATTACAATTGAAATTGTGAAAGCTAATTTTGTTATTTGTAAAATGTTAGCTTGTTCCGGTTTTGTAGTATTCTAGAAACAATCTAAAACCAGTTTAAACCAGTTTTAAATGTTGTTTTTATTCATTAGAAGGGAAGGGATGTTCTCTGTTCAGTAAGTACGATTACTTATGTGTTTATTATGATTGATTTTGCTTAAAAAACTGTGTAATACATTTTTATTACACGAAAACATTTAATTTTTGACCCAGAAGCATACATTTCATGGTTTAATGTTTTTCTTCAATGTAATTAATACTTCGTTGTTTATAAGCGACAAAGAATCAAATCAATCTGAAATTGAAAGCGCCAATAGCCTAATGGTTTGGGGTAGGGACTACCGATCTTGAGGTCGAGTGTTTGAATCCCGACATTCGACTGTTGTGAACCATATCCTAGCACAAACCTAGAGCTTAGTTGGAATCGTTAAAGGAAATATTAAAAATGTACTAATATTAAAAAATACGCTTTCAAAATCCCATTGCTAGTTTTGCAACGTTATTAAAAAACATTTACCGGGAAATGTCAGTGTTAATTTTTTACTTCAGCTCCAGCGAGCGTTTGGAAATAAACTTCCAAGTATCATTAGTCTTCTTTAAGACTGTCTTTAGTACTGCAAGTATTGTTACTGTTCGACATCTCGAAGATTTATAGCTCAAAATATACAACGATATAAGATTTATAGACGAGGTTCTGAAAACAAAAATAAAAATATGGTTATATCTCCAACTAGTTGTTTCTCGCGACTTCGCCAGTGTGAAATTAAAAAAAAATAGTAAAAATATAGTCTATGTTACTCAGTGATAACATAGCTTTTTAATGGTGCAAGAATTTTTGAAATCGGTCCAGTAGTTTTTGAGTTATTTCAATAAATACAAAAATCAAAAAACATAATCTTTTTGTTTGACATTTGGTTTAAACTATAATACTTACAGCGAGTACTTAGTCATGTGTACTCGGTATTCCAAGCTGTCATCTATCCTATTCCAAATTCCATTCTGATTCATTGAACCATTGTGAAGTTATGTGATAATATATTTTTTTTTTTTCAAAAATAAAAATCCTTTATGGATGGATGAAACGCATTTTTAACAACATTAGCAAAAATCTTTTAATGTAACTTTACTTTTGTAACTAGAGCACGAAGAAAATTCAACGTTCGCGTTGTCAATTACTTAAGAACGCTCAACAAACACATCTCGCAAACTTTATATGTAGATTATTGCGGTACCTAATTTGCAAGACATCAGTTGGAGAAGTTTCCAGCAAACTTCGCATTTTGTGTTTGAACTTCGACGTTTGAACTTGTGCGAAGCGAAAA